TTTAATACCGGTGCTGAAAAAAAGTGACATGTTCAAAACACTAAAATAAATGGTCTTGATATACAGGTACTTTCCATTAGTTACAGATTTAAAGTCTTGAACATCACAGTCACTATCAAATTATGCTAATTTCTCTTTAAATGCAGGTGATATTATTTGATAAGAAGACTATCACAATAGCCTACCTATATATTTCAATGTTGGAAGCATTTTCTGACAGGATGATTTAAGCTATCGAAATATCCTTTCTGTAGTTTTGATGCTAGTAGCATTTTCAGATACGGTGATTTAAGCTATCAAAATATCCTCCTTACAATTTTGTATGGGGTGCTACCTATAAATATGTGCTATGGTAGGACATTTCAACAAGGTATCACACCAGAGTTTTTCCCATTCTGATATGAATACGGTTACACTGAGTGTGTTTACATGCACTAATAATCCGATAACTGCAGAAAATCCGATTTTGTCAGTAATCCGATCAATATGTTTACATGCTCTTGAGTAATCAGATAATGGGGAAACTCCAGGTCTGCATGAGTCAGACAGTAATCAGATTTCTGCTTTACAACCAGCCAATAAACTCACAGACGAAGACATAACGTAAACGTAACGTAAACCTCAAACTTCACGCCACGGCTTTGTTTTAAACATCGCGCCACTTTACCAGAAAACATGAACAAGATGAAGAATATTTAAATCCTTCATTCCGTCGAGAGTGTTTTTGGTTTCACTGTTGCTCCAAAAGTGTTTTGCTGCATCTCTCAGCAACGCTGCTTGTTTATTTCTCGCACAGCAGTCTCTTCTGCAGACTGAGAAATCGAAAGAAATCAGAGTAAGAGTTTATGTGCACTGAGAAATCTGATTACTGAGCTAAAATCCAGCCTCTTTATTGGATTTCTTAATCGGATTTCTAGACCAGAGTATGGTGTTTACATGACCATTTGAATAATCAGATAACTGCAGAAATCTGATTATGATTGGATTATTGAAAGCATGTAAACGCACTAACTGAGACAGTACGTTTACACAACTCCTCAAGCTACACTCACCTACTGCCGTATGGATGAAAGCGTCTGCAGTGCACAGTCAGTCCAAGCTCTGTAAAAACCTGAACGTTATTAAAAGCATACTGACGCTGCTGTTTCAGTGTAGGATGGGCAAGCTGGGCAGATTTAAGAGAAGAAAACAGTGTATATGACCAGGAGAGAGAATATGTAATATTGGCCTACAAAAATAAACAGGTGTGGTCACCTTAGTTATCTAACGTTAGGCAGACGAGACAGTGGTTAATTTAGTACAGACTCAGCTTAATATTACATCTTACCCCCGATAAGATAATTTATGCTATCTATATATATCTATATATCTACCTATAGGTTTATATACTGAGCTACCTATAAACATTTTAACACTGCTGTTATATTTTTAAGAGCTTTTAAACTCGAGTTATAGGAATTTAAAATGGCGCCTCATGTACGTTCATGACGTCTATGAGCGCGAACAGCCAATGAGCTGCTCCGCTCGCCAGCCAATCAGTACTCAGTAGCCATTTTGCTAGCGTTCTGCTGCCCAAAACCCGTTTGCTCTTAGAAAAGATTTAGTATATAGGTGAGTTTTCTTTGTTTTTTAGTGAAATATATCCTTGTACTTTCTAAAATTAAAGGAAAGTTCTGTATAAGTGATTAGAAACTATTTTAACTTTTCGTTTTTAGCTGTTTAGTGCCCTTCACCCCCATTCATCGAGGACTCGTTTTGACGCTAACATTAGTGATATTACTGCACAAACACTGAAGAAATTAAACATTGCCATGTCAGTTAGCTTACACAGGAACACAGCGAAACTTTTAATTTGTTTTCTGTTGGCTGTTCTTGCGTTAAACTGTAAGTTTAATAAACTGTAAAGCCACACAATGCATTTTCTCCCGGTCATCAATATGGCGGCGCAGCCACACGAGACAGACCAAACCTGAGATGTTACAAAGGATTAACCCGGTTAGCAAATGAATGGGAAAGCTATTAATACTCAACATGGCGTCTGTTTACGAGGAAAGTCCTGCCCTTTAATAAAAAGAGCCAATCAACTCGCTGAATGAGCCGCAAGCAGGAAAAGATCCCTTCGTTGTGGAGATATGCGCATGCGCAGTGGCCAGACCAAGCTAAAAAAGTGGTTTTCGTGTTATTTGATCCAAACGATACAAACTGTTTATGCTGTTTCTGTCAGATTTTATCACTGACTTCAAATATGTTTATGAAACGTTACGTGAAACATCCAAGTTTTGGTTTTAGAGAGCCTAACTTAGCTCAGGGGTCGACAGCATGCGGGTCTTTTACTGCCCTCTTGTGGCTCCACAGCAGAATCAGATTTGTAGGTAAAAATAAAATAATCCTCCTTTACAGTAAAATAAAGCTCTGCTGATCGTTCAACACAGATTGGCTGAGTAGCGTCACGTGTGATATTTTCAACGCATGCGATTGGTCTGTGAGTCTCCTGGCCGCTAAAGTGGTACAGTAAAGGCTAGAAAAGCTAGGCCGATTAAAACAGGACCACCCGGTCAACATTTATTCTCCATAGTTTATCGGTTATAGGCTCAGGTCCGCATAGGACAGCATCTGGGTCTGGACCCGGACCGTGGTCCATCTATTAGTGACCTCTGGTTTATATCTACACTGAATGTGTCTTTTAAAAAACTCACACCGACATAATCGAATCGTGCAGTCTGGGAGGCACTGACTCATTTTCTGAAGAATCAACCAACTGGACTCATTACTGAACGCCGGTGGACACTAATTCTTCCGAGGAGATTTCAAACTTGCCACCAGGGTGTAATGAAGAAGGCTTTTAAGACGCTGATGTATGAATCAGATTTTCCGCTGCAATAGGACTACATGAATCAACAGACCACTAAACGACAAAAGCCAAGTTCGGTGCTCGGTGTGAAATAATTTCTGAATTATGTCGTCATTAAACGCAGAAAGAAAATGCATAATTCATTTATAGAGTCGTTTAAAGGCGGTTTAAGCAGGTGCGAGAGCAATACAGGGCCGCTTCCACAAATTGTAAGCTGTTAGCAGCGCTGCACAGAGTTACTACAGAAGGAAGTCATCTTTTTTTTTTAAAACTCGGTTCTGTTGATAACGTCAGTAGATTTTATGGAGGCAGGGTGATAAATACCCATTACACAGTCAAACACAGCAAGGCATCCATTACTGCAGAGATCCTGTTCCTGATCCTGAGCAGTAACAGATGAACATGCCCAGCACAGCCTGAGAAGCGACAGAATTATATTCACTGTCAAGAACCAAAACAGTTATCAGCATCCCTGGAGGGACAACACTGAGGTGGGGAGATAAACAGTGTGTTTATATATGCAGTATATAAGTCTGAGACCGTCCTCCATTTATTTAATTTCCAGTCAAAAAGACCACCAAGTAGAAGTGCAAGCTTTGGGGAAAAAAAGCAGAAAATATATCAGAATAAAACCTCGTATCTCCATTTTTGTCGTTTTCCAGTTTTTGGCATAATTTGAAAATACTTGTTACCCTTTACATTGTGTGTAAATTTTATGATCAATGGACCAAAAGAAATGACCCAAAATGACTTGGAAAAATGTCTGGTTCCATTGACTTACATTAAAAGTAAACTATGTTTTTTCCTTCTCCTGTAAAGTTACCGTTTTTGAGAGATACAAGGTTTTCTTCCCACAACAGCAAAATGTAGACTGTTACTTTATAAACTACTTTATAAACTACTAATGGTAAAATTGGTTAGTACATGACTTGGTTATCATGAAGTACAAGCTCTTTACTAAAAAGTGAACATAATAATGATTAACTCATGACCTGATCAGATAAATATGAAGTGCTAATAGCAGTCACCATTCTAGTCTTATCAGTTTTATCATTGTTTTATTAAAACTTGTTCATAGAATCACAGATGCTGTAATCATCTACACCAGGGTTTCTCAACCACTGGGCCGAGAAGCACCCCTTGGTGGTCCTTGGAGGGGGGGCATAAAAATCAGTGGAAGACTTAATAAAACAGAAATATTTTGAGAAATGTTTTCAGATAGTTGACAACATTAATACAAGCCCCACCGTAACAGTGCACAAAGGCAGCTTCTTCTTTTTTTGCCCTTTGCCTCTAGAAACACCTGACCTTTCGGTTGTCCACTCGCACCAATATTCTGGTGATATTTTGTGTTCACTGACACACATCACATCTTGCAAAAGTACCCCCCCCCCACTGAAAATTTGCCAAAAATGACATTTTAAAGCAAAAATGTTGAGTTTTGTTATCTTGTGGGCCTTCACGCTTTCTACTGATAAACATTTGGGCCTTGAGGTGGACAAGGTTGAGAACCCTTGATCTGCACAGCCTTTAAAGTTCACTGAGAAAGTGTCTTTTTATGGCTGGAGGTTAGGGAACCAGCCTTGCAACTGGAAGGTCGCGGGTTTGAATCCCTGAGCCGACAGTACATGACTGAGATGCCCTTGAGCAAGACACCTAACCCCTTACTCACTGCCCCCTAGTGTGTGTCTTCACTAGTGAGTATGTGGTGTTAAACTGCACGGATGGGTTAGATTGCGGAGGTGAAATTTCTCCATTGTGGGACTAATAAGGGTCACTTAATTGATAATTAATTAATTAATTAATAAGAAAATGAGTTAAGGCTGATACGGACCAGTAAGCATTAAGCAAATTAGATCATGCTCACAGGTCACTCATTCACCGCCAGCTGCAATAGCTTGTTTGGGCGAATTCTTCCCCTAAGACACTTAAACTGGGCCCATCTTTAAAACGACCCTCCTCTCTCTCTCTACAGCACCTCACTCCCCCAAGCTCAGCCCCGAAGAAGCAGCAGCAACGCAAGCGATGGCGTTACGACTGAGATAAGCAAAAATCTCAGCACTTTGAATTTCTCAAATGGCCTGGAAAGACACTGAGGAAAACGAGTACCGTCAGCACATTACGGCACAAAAGAGAAGAGAATATGACACACTGAGAAAACTATCTTTATTTAGAAAAAAGCATACACCGGCAGACTTGAGCAGATTAAAAACTTTAAAATTAGTCCTCAAAGTGACAAACACTTTCCATTTTTCTGTAGTCCATTTATTTATGAAGAAATCCAGCTCGCCATTCTTTTTTATTCATTTATACAAATCTTTTAAAAACGTGATTGAACACACAGTGAGGAATTCAGGTGGCTTACATTGGAAATGAAAGTTACAGGAAATTATGTATAACAAGTAACCATTTTATTTAAAGTATACATAATATACAAATCGACCATTCGCACTGCTTCAAACACCTACGTCTAAATATTTCACATGGATTAAAAGGAAGAGAAACAAAAATAAATAAACTGGAAATCTAACTGAGGCAGAGAAGCATTCTGTCTGCTTAAAGGAAAAACTAAGTAAAAAAAAAAGGGGGGGAGGAAAGAAAAGTGTGTTCGTCATAAAAATGCAAGCAAATTTGAGAGCGACATCATTCAGACCCCAATTCCACTGGTGAAGTACAGCAGCACATTGTGCTAAAATTTAAAGGAAATGAACTTTCAGCACAGCACTGAAAATATCACAATAAAAAATGGCAGGTTAAAATACAAGCTACGACATTTTCTAGGCAATGCAACAACAAAAGTATCTACGCAGGCAAAAAAGGAAAAGCTAGGGTGCGAACCAATCCTCTGCTTAGACGGTGAAAAAAAGAGTCGAGATGCTGACATGGCTGAAAGAAGTTTCGGGCGAACGGGGGTCTCCGCCTCGTCACAGCTCACAACAGGGAATTCTGAGGAGGAATAATTACTGCCGTCAAAACTTCATAAGTACTCGATACTGGAGGAAATGCAGCAGTACTGCAGAATAGACTCAGCTAAAGCAGATCAAAGTGCGCCTTCACTGCCACTCAAATCATTAAAATTTTAATACTGCAATTCTAACAAATGAGAGATCGGAATGTCTGTTCACCCAGAGGAGAGTCTTAAACGTTGAGTCAGCGTTTACAGAACACAAAACACTAACCCGCTTCCCATGAATCAAACTGTGGTCGTGTCTTACCTTGACCGCGCCAGCATACATTATCTGTGCTTTTCGGATGATTTATGAGTGAAGAACGTTAAGGATCAAACTGGCCTGCAAGAGCAAACTGAACAGGTAAGCAGGACCAGGAAACAAATGTCTAAGGCTTTGTTCTCTCAGCAGGTAAAAGTGGCCCAAATCTGATCTTTTTCTTCATGTGAGACACAGATGTGTGTCTGTGTGTCAGTGTGAACAGATAAACTCACCAAATCTGACATTTTCAACTGATATCTTACATATAAGTACAAGTGTTAACGTGGCCAGTGATTCCAAACCTGTGAAAAAGGGGAGTTTTTATCATTCATTGTCGATATTTATTGATCATTATGTTCATTTTTTAAAGCCCAATTTTAAATCTAAATAGTATTCTGAATACATAAGGCACATTCTGTTAGGATTTATCATGAACAAAAAAGTGAGGAAACTGAACCTGTGCTTCTACATTCGACACCCAGCATGCAACACGTGTTGCTGTGGGTGAATGGCTAGACTTCTTCTCCAACCCATCTAACAAGTAAGAAGGTAAACACTGCCACTTAGTGTAGTGAGGCAGCAACTGGTTCAAGCTGAAGCTTTTGCTGCTAATACTGGATTAATAAACAGAAAAGCATATCAGAACGAAACCTCGCATCTCCATTTTTTGACATAATCTGAAAATGCCCGTCGCCCTTTACATTGTGTGTTTATTTCATGATCAATGGACCAAAAGAAACGGCCCGAAATTACTTGGTAAAACATCTGGTTCCGTTGACTTGCATTAAAAGTAAAGTAGGTTTTTTCCTTCTCCTGTAAAGTTACCATTTTGGAGATACGAGGTTTTGTTCCGACAGAAGAGATATGAATGTTTTTCCTTCAAATGAAAAACGTTTGACTTTAATCACTTTGTTTACATTTTATGACCTCATTTTACATTTAAAATCTCCACTGTCGGCCTCACGACTCGCCTCTACTTGCCATTTTTCTTTCTGACTTCTTGACCATGCAGCTGCTGCTGAAACATGATTCCTGCAAGTGGAAGTGCAAATCAGAGACACGCGTACTGACTGGCTGTTGTGTTGGCTTTAAGCTGATCCTACATGCTGCCTGATGGGCTGCAAGCACCGTCTATTTCAGTGTAAATTAAAAAGGACACAAATCCTAAGTTAACACCGTCACTGAGGAAAACAAAGCATCATATCGCTCAGTATCAGGTAAGCCCTGCAAGAAAAGCCACAGTGCGATCTACAGTCTACAGAGCCTTTCAGGTTGTTTGTGTGCGGGGGGTGGGGGGGTGGCGGTGGGGACTCCAGTTTGTTTACAGAGAACCACAGCACAGCCAAAGTGTATCTAGCAAACAACACTCACTAATGGCTAGAACATCAAAGGATATTGTTTTTTGTCTTCTTTCGCACCGGTGCTGTCTCTCTTCTTCTCTGATTTCTCTTTGTCGTGCCTGGATTCCTTTAATAAAGCAAAAGAAACAAATAAATGAGGCAACGTGAGAGCACTTTCAAAGACGTGCCAGTTCCTTTGTAAGTTAGCAGAATGCTATGCCATCTTCCCCTATACAAGCACTGCAGAGCTCACTCCCTCATGTAGCTGAATGATGGCGGTAATGGTTTAAACACAGAGTGAAAGACCTCCAATGTTCCTGTGAAGTGTGTAAACAGCTAAAGGATTTTGTCCTCATTCCAGAGGTTTCACACCTTAAACTACACAATAAAGGTACTAAACTGTCAGTTTAGTCCCCCTCTTGTCACTGGGGTGGACCCCTCAAGGGTCCATCTCAGTACCTTTAGTCAGGGAACATAACTGAACCATAATCCACTGAAATGATATGTTCTAAGCTGTACTGACTCCACACACCCCGTCTCGTCTCCAGGCTTTTATTTTACTGTTCTGTTTAAAACATTCGGTTATGAAAAGGTACAAATACGAACTTTTCACCTGGAAAAACTTATTTAAGGTTCACAATCAGACCTTAAAACCACTGTTGGAGCTTTGAGGGAACATTTACACTGTGTAGTCTGTCAGAACCTGAGTAAGAGTATTAAAAGTACCTGGACTAAAGTTGGTAGGGATTCACTGATTCTAGGCTGATGCAGATATGCAAATCTTTCATGTTCATAACTGCCAACACCCCAATACATAAACATTAAAGAAATACAGAAATCTTATATTTCTTATATAAATATTTCAAGTCAGAGTGAACAGCAAGCAGAGGCCTCACTGTTGGGAATTTCTTGAGCAAACATTCATGATGATTTGAGGGAATGTTACCTTTCCTGCCACTTATCCACATATACACTTATTTTTAATAACTGAGTAGGTTTTTAGCAGGGCTTTTACTACAGATTATATTAGTAATTGAGTAATCATTGTTTTTATTTTGATCAAAGACAAAGCAGCTACTACTGCAGTTTATTTTCAGATCAAATTAGAGCCAGAAAGAACATCAGTGAAGGAAAAAGGCCCATAAAATGACGGGGATAACTGAGGAAAACACCCTCACACACTGGTGGTCACAGTCAGACGCCTGCCACTCCCTTTCGCCTGAGACGTGCGAGTGCCACTACCTTTTTGCTTCCAGAGGTTTTGTCAGTCTTTGCCAGGTCTGTCTTGTCTTTGCTGGTGGATTTGGAGCGCTTGCTGTTGTCCTTGTCATTGGAGCGGGGCGAGTCGGGCGGACTTGCGCTCTTGCTGTGCTTGGAGGAGCCTGCGAGAGGAGCCGGGGCAGAACAGAGCAGCCGGTGTGAGGAAGATAACACACACACACACACACACACACACTCATGCACACGTGAGGCGGCATGCTGAGGTCGCTCTGATTGCCTCTGCTGGAGAGAAAGAGAGAGCGCTTTCTGGTTCACTGACCCCCTCCTCCCATCCAGCTTCCCCCTCTAACCACCGCCTTCTCTCTTCTCCTCACAGCAGCGGCCCAAATGAATAAAAGGGACGTTTACAACTCACTTGTTCCGTTCTCATCTTTGCGGCGCTTGGCTTCCTGGCTCATCTCGCGGTCGGTGTTCGAGTAGTCCTAGAAAAGCAAACAAACCAAAAAACCCAAAATGAATGAGTCAGAATTGCAATTGATGCTCTGGTCCCCCCCCCCATCCTGCCACTCTCTCTCACAGCAGGAGCTCAATATCTGCTGTTTACACAAAGCGGACGGCACATTACAAGCGGGCTCATTTGAAGCCACGGTGTCTGAGGACACTTTTACAAACACAGCGGAGCCGAAACTGGCCCAATAACGCACTCATATCACTACCCCAGCACTAGCTCAGTGTTCTAACAATAACAAAGGTTTTGAGGCGATTAGCGCTCGGATTTTGTTACGAATGGATTTGCACATATAAAAATACAACAATACCGAACTGATCTGCTTTGCACGCTTGTTAAATTTGTGAAATGTTCTGTTAATATTTTAAATAAAAACTAATTATAGAGACCAACACTGGTGCAAAATTGGGGGGCCATGTCAACCCCACCTGAAATTAGGCTAGATCAGTGGTCACCAATCATGCTCCTGGAGATCTACTTTCCTGCAGTGCAGCTCCAGTATGTGTCTAATAAGATGCCCCGCCCCCTCATGTAATCCAACCAATCAGGGAATTGGGAAGAGGTTAAATAGCTGGAGCAGGTGAGCTTGGAACTACACTCCACAGGGACGTAAAGCACCAGGATGATGACTGGGTAAGACGATTCTGGAAAGCTGCATTACTGATAACATATTTGAGAATAAACATTCCATAAAATCTCACATGGCAAGTTAAAACACACAGAACACTTGTGTGAAGAGCACACAGAGAATTCTAGCTAAATAAATAAATAAAATAAAACAAAAATCTGACAGCATGAATCAGCGCTTAAAGCAGCCAGACTAACAGCCAACTTCATTACCTCTTATTTGCATCAATATTACATGACTATTGTCTAACTAAGGGTTCACTTTTGGAGAGACGGCTTCTTGGAAAGAGTCTTCCACCTAAAGCAGAGTAGTCACTCGTGTTTATGTTATGCTTTTGTTTCGAAATACTCTCATTCATTTTAAAACTGAAATAGATTGTATACAGACCACAGAACAGATTAACACATTTTAGAAAAATAATAAATATAATAACGTAATAATAATAATAATAATAAAGTAAATAATTCAGTCAGTTAGTCTAGCTAGTCAGTTTAGACAGTAATGTCCTGAAGTTCTTCACTAAACTTAACACTCAAGGCATAATAATAAAGCACAAACCTGTCCTGCCTGTTTGTTACAAATGAGAATGCTTTTAATACGAATTAACTATATGATCATTTTTTGACTTGTACCACTACAGTTATTAATCGCCCTTCCTCTTTCTGCTCAATTATTACCACCTTTGTTGTCTCAATTATATTGAACTTGCAATTTAAAAGAGTGTGATTTTTAAATCACAGGTACTTCAATATTTATTACAGCCTAAATTATCGACAATGTTGTCTAACCAGTTTGAAGCGGGGAACCTTCACCTAAAAACAGAGGTCAAGAACTGCTTGTAGATGAGTTAGATCAATCAGAAGCAACTAAACATGCACAAGACATCACCACCACAACTAACTGGCAGTTTGGTACACTACATTTAATGTTCGAGACTCAGCCCAAAGAAAGTGTGGAAGTGTGTATGCTGGTGGTCTTCGCGAAGAAAAACAAGCCTCAATAGCTGCAATTAATTTAATTACCAAGATATTTTGATCCAATATTTATAGCAGCATGGAGATCAAAATTAGCTCAGAATTATAGCAATGAAAAAAAAAATGCCACTGTAACAAAACTATTTCTCACGATTATATATGGTGTTCTTGAAAGCCTTGAGGATGAAACTCCAGCTGTTGAAAGTTGAAATCGATTGTAGTTTTCATCCATTTTGGTATCCATTTTTTATTTTGACATTATTGTACAGGGTGATTTCAAAAAGATTCATCCGATTTCAAAGCGCCATATTTTTACAACCGTGAGGCGTCTAGGAACCAATCACAATCCAATTGAAAGAGGGGGTCATAGAGTTTCTGACTGTCAGTGGAAGATGGATCCCTTCAGTCTGAGAGGAGATGAGACCCCTGAGCAGAAAGCGTTCTGCGTTCTCCACTTCAATAAGAGTGAATCCGTCATAACTGTGCAGTGTGATTTTCGTGGGCAGTGAACCTCCAACAGCTCAGAGCGTTCATCGTTGGTTCCACAACACTGGATGATCTCCGAAATCGCACTGAAAGAGCCGTGAGTGCAGCGACACCCGACATGCTCAATCCAGTATGGGGTGAATTTGACTATGGTGTTGATGTTGTCTGTACAGCTGGAGGAGGTTCATACTGAGACCTTGTACAATTACATAATAAACTTTATACTCATTTAAACCATTTACAGTTCACTGCATTGATCTGTAATGATTTACAAGTGAAATAAATCATTTTGAAATCGGATGAATCTTTTTGAATTGCGCTGTATTATTATATCCACCAATAGCAGCCACAGGCGAATGCATACTCACTCGTTTGCGGTCCTTCCTGTCCTCCTTCTTCTCCCTCTCTTTGGATCGATCCCTGGATTTCTCAGACTCTTTCTTGTCGGCCTCGGTCTTGGTCGGGGCTGTGCTGTGGTTGGCGTGATGCTGGGTGGGGGGGGGACAAGACAGGGTTAAAAGCAGGGTTAAAATCTCTCAGAAGGAGAGTGAGAGCAGCACTGCCACATCATTAGCATGGCCCATTTGAGCTGCGCCAGGCTCTCCAGGAGAATTCACACCTGGACATCACACCTCTGAGAGTGAGCCAGTCTGCTACTGCCACCTCCAGCATCCATGGCAAGAAGGGATAACTATAGAAACAAATAAAAACTACTGCTACCAATAATAACAATAATAAACATGTTCATTATAAAACAAAAAAGATGTAAAATAACTGCCTCATTTGCATACATAATTGCTGTCAGAAGAAAAAAAACATACTAGAATAGTAACTTTACAGTAGGAGGGGAAAACAGACAACTTTCAATGTACATTAGTCATTTAAATATCGACTCTCTCATTTTAGACCTTCCTCATTACGGTACCCTATTCTTTCACGGTTCTCTTGTGAGCGGTTTTGGGTTTGTAAAGGCGCAATATTAACAGAACGTTTGGGTGCAATAATTTTAACACAGTAACAAAAAAATATATATTAGCATGTGAATCACTTATGTGCCATTTATTAGCGTGTGAATCACTTATGTGGGGTCTCTTCTGGGGGTCTCTTGTTTGCCTTCTTTCATGGAAACTATCAGTGATCAAAACTAGGCATCTACAGCTGCGTTCCAAAGTCTAGGCTGCTTTTTTCGGACGCTACGTCATAGCAGGCCGTTCCAAAATGAAGCATCCTTCGTATACAGCCTAGAAATGCAGCATACGTTCTGAGTGATTTCAAGTACGCATCAGATTTATCCTTCCAAGCCTCCAGTTACCCACAGTTCTCTGTGCACGGACGACGCGAAGGGGAACAAAATAAAAATAACAGCACCACGAAAATGGCGGAAAACGAAGCCGTTGTTGTTCACCTCCCTGAACTCGTCTTTGTTACCTTATAAAGTGTAAATCACTGATTAATTAAAGTGATCATCCATATATCGTACTGTATTTAGAAGTATTTGTATATGTAGTTTATCGTATTACATAAGAGCATCTCCTCCATTTATGTGAAGAAATGAAAAAGCAACAAATTCAATGCAGCGGCTCTGTTTTCTCTCACCAGTTCCCTCACGAGTTTGGCGCCGCTCTGGTGGCGTCACCACACAGCCCCGTTAGGACTGATCCATTTGTGTGACTAATAGGCTACTAAGGAGGAGTCTTCATAGGACAGTCCTACCCAGGACCCTCACTACTTAGACTGCATCCTGGGCTTTGGAACGCAGCTACTGTGTACGCAAGCCATTAAATCATTACGAGAAGATACTTATGAAGACAACCTGCTAGAACTTCGGCCCTGAGATGAGGCGAAATCTGCCACAAACAAAGTTCCAGCCCCTCTAAAAGCCAACCCCAAACTCCTCTAGTGCAGAGATTTCCAATCTTATCTATAAAGGGCTGGTGTAGTTGCAAGTTTTCATTTCAACAAAGCAGGAGTTCATGTGTTTGAAGAGAGACTAACTGATTAAACCAGTGAAATCATGTCTGATCTTGCTTGTCTGGAATGAAAACCTACAGCCATGCTGGCCATTCGGTGCTGGTTAATGGAACTGTGTGTTCCTCGCTAGAGGTCATGTTTATTTTTATTGCATGTAACGTGTTCTCTACATACGCAACACACATCTACATGCTTAACTGGAGGCTTTCTGTGTTTGTGTGGGGGGTTGCATGTTTTATAAGCTCACCATTTTGCACAATATGCTACAATTTTATGCATTTCTGAGCAAAAAATCTGTGTAGTACATAATTGGTGCTCTCTATAATTAAGACATTTAACACAAAACACAAAACGAATCTTGACTTAAGAACCAAAAATCGTAAAATAATTTTCCCCCTAATAATTATTCTAAACTGGAAAATATATGGCCAGTACAGCCTACGCAAACAGCAGTTAACGTGAAAGGAAAGCTAACTGCACCAGGTTTCAAATCAATGCTTCTGGAGAGCAAATACACAGAGCTTAACAGCAGCATGAGGGCAAGACAGGGCAGAGAGATAAACAGATTGCGAGGCCGTCTATGTCAAGGTTGTCTGAAATGCACACAATGTCAAAACGTCCAGGCTCGCCGCCTTACATAATGACTGGCTATCTCACAGGGCTGGAGAAATGACATTTTCTTACAGCCGCGGCAATCGGCGTGCCACACGCAATCACATCCAGGCTATGAAAGGGAGAGCGCTATGAATAACAATATTTCTGATGCTATTCATCATTTTGGGCAAAGAAAATCTCGTCAGCATATCACATGAACCATGAGGGCAAAAGCTGTTCGAGGAGTTTGTACCAAAATAGATCCGTAAGAACATTTCCACACTACCAGACTCGCTAATTTGCAGGAGGCTTTGTTAGCCATGGACGAGTACCAAAAATGAATGACCCCACAGCAGCTAAAAATAGTCCCCAAACACAAGCATGTGGCATCTTCGCAAATGCTAATCAGACATTTTACGAATCTGATATCAGTAATTTAAGAAGCTCATTACAGTGTCTCAGTACAACGCGAAACATGAGCAGTAACAAAATAGACTGAGATGATTCGGTACAGTTGTCCAGACAGGTCAGCTACCGCAAAGCGAGTATATAAAGGAAAATGACATCATGGAGTCGGTAGAAAGTGTGCAGAGTCTCTAAAAGGACAGCTGCAGAAGCTTAAAAGCTGAGGCTTTCTCTGCTAATTGACAACAGTCCCAGCAGTCTGTCAGCGTTAGCTGGTAACATCACATCGCCTGCTGGAACGACTCCACAGATTTCTGCTAATAAATACTAAGAAAAAGGAGTGAAACAAAGACATAAGCAAGGGATGGATGGAGGGAATGGAAGGGAAAAAGAGAGAGAGGGAGAGAGGGAAAGAGAGACGAAGTGAGAGAGAGAGAGAGAGGGAGCTCGTTAGCGCTGAAGAAGCCTGGCTGAAGGAGTGACTGTGCAGAGGGACTTTAAAAGAGCCTTTTAAGTTGTGAAGCCATATTTCTGCTGCCTAATTAGGGCCGTTACAGATTCCTCTCTTATTGCCAAGGTGCGTAATATTAGCTCTGAGCTTTCAAACTCAGTCCAAACCCTGCGCACAGCTGACATGCCTACTTTCTAAAAAATCTCCCCGGCTCACATTACCTAAAGAGACCTTTCAGAAAACGGTGTAAATGAAGCGAGTCAGGGTGGCGCCCATTAGGCCAGACCTGCTTGAAGAACAGTCAGGGGATCTACACACTGCTGCTTCTGCAACAAAACCTTTTATCTCCATTTCTGTCGTCTTACTTTTTTTTTGCATAACTTGAAAACGTCAGTTGCACTTCAGACGTTACGGTTTTATGATGAGCGGAAAAACAGAAATGGTCCAAAATTACCTGTTTTTATTATTAAAATCCATTAAATCCCATGTGTCAAACACGAGTCAGGCCGGTGATACCGTTCTAAAATTATCTTAATTTTCTATTCTTACTCACTCCTTTCACCCTGAGATATACTACAGTTCCCAGCATGCACCGCAACATAGTGTGTTTTGATCCCCTTCCCCCAACAATCTATAGGCCAGTGGTTACACAAAAAGAAAAGATGCCTGGTGTCTACTTCAAGCAAATAGACCGTTTTTAAAAAAAAATACCTAAAACTATTTATTTTTATGTAGAATTATTTTAGAATAAGTTTTCAATGCCTATTTTGCTGTTCCAGTTTTTTATTTGGCCCTTTTAGTGGTTGAGCTTGACACCCCTACATTAAATAATAGAATTTTTCCTCCTCTAACGTTACATTTTGGAGGTTTTTCAAAGTTTCGCTCTCACAGCAATGATTTGTTAGTAATTTAGTGGTATGTCGGCTCTAAAACCTCACTAACTCTGCATCTCCAGCAGGTCAACACACCACCACACATCCCATTCGTTTTCAGTGGGAAGCAGTGGTTCCGTCAGATGCTGCCACACGGTGCATGATGGGTCTGGTGCATCATGTTTAGGGGATGCAATGTATCCCGGCCAACGCAATGAACCCACTCAATCAGGACACAGCTGGTGTCTGACTAAGCTTCCACTTTTCAAATATGCCTGCATGACATGGAACGACTCCATATTGGTATATTTAAACACTGACTGCGTTTACATGCACTTAATAATCAGATAACTGCAGAAAATCAGATTTTGTCAGTAATCCGATCAACACGTTTACATGCTCTTGAGTAATCAGATAATGGGGAAACTCCAGGTCTACATGAGTCAGACAATGATCAGATTTCTGCTTTGCAACAGCCGATAAACTCACAGAAGACGTAACGTAAAACTCAAACTGCGGCTTTTTTTAAACATCACGCCGCTTTACCTGAAAATACGAACAAACATCATCTGCTCCAACAGTGTTTTGCTGCGTCTCGCAACATCCACTGTCTGATCTCGCGCATGCGCAGACTGAGAAATCCGATAGAAATCAGAGTACGAGTTTACATGCACTGAGAAATCTGATTACTGAGCTAAAATCCAGCCTCTTTATCAGATTTCTAGATCGGATTTCTAGATCGGAGTATGGTGTTTACATGACCATTTGAATAATCGGATAACTGCAGAAATCTGATTATGATCGGATTACTGAATGCATGTATACGCACTCACTGTTTACGCCCAAAACGTAAAATCAGAGTAGAAAAATGATCGGATCGATGACAATAAACCAAAATGACTGACGTCGACCGCAAGTGATAATCAAACATCTAAATCCTAGTCTTTCAAAGAGCAGTGAAAAGCACTGTAAGCTCTTCAAAGGACCAAATAAACATTAACGATGGGCATTTCAGACAGGTTACTCACATTTTCAAGGCATTATTAAAAATACTCAACAAACCACCAAGCCCCATGCAGCTTCTGTGAAAAAAATGTCTGATTCGCTATTTAAGACTTTGTGACTACCGAGACATTTAGAAGACATTTTCTCACAGAAACATTTTACATCATGCCAGCATTTTGTTTCCAATGAC